TCCTGAAACTGACCTCGCGCATCGCGCCCCGCCACGCGCGACGCGCGGCCATCCTTCGCGCCCTCGCGCCGCCACCCTGCGGGGGGGGGCAGCTCGCCAGCCCGAGCCACGCTGGGCGGAGCGCGACTCTCTCCGCGCCCCTTGGGGGGGGGGCTGGCTCAAACCAGGGCGAGCGAGCATGAGGCGCTGGGGACCGGGCGGGGGCGACGTCCCTCCTCCTCCTCCTCCTCCTCCTCCTCCTCCTGCTCTCCTCCTCCCCCCCCCCCCCCTCCCTCCCTCCACCCCCCTCCCCTCCCCCCTTCTCCCCTCCCCCCTGGGGTGAGCCTCTCCTTTCCATTCCCTCCTCCCCTCCTTCCCTCTGCTAGCCGGGCCTTCCTCGTGCTCCTCCCCCACCCCTCGCCTGCTTTCCTTTCCTGCTCCTCCCTCGCATGCGCCCTCCCCTCCTCCTCCTGCTCCTCCGGCCTACTCCTCCTCCTCCTACCTCCTCCTTTGTGCCCTCATCCTCCCATCCCCCTCCTCTTCCTCCTTCCCTGCGGATCCTCCTCTCATGCTCCTCCTTCCCCTTCCCTCCTGCGCCTTCCTCCTCCTCCTCCTCCTCCTCCTCCTCCTCCTCCTCCTCCTCCCCATGTCCACCGCCTGGGGAGCTGACGTCCTGGGGCCCCAGCGGGCGGTGGATGTGGATGTGCGCGCGGGCACCGGCCGCGGATGGGCTCTCCCCCGATCCGAAGGGAGGAGGCGACGCGAAGAGCGGCGCCCCCCGTGGGCCGAAAACGGATCCTGGAGCCAGAAGTTTGTCAAAGACTACTGAAGGGGCCCTGGGACACACAAATGAATACACACAAATAACAGGATTCCCAACTTTTTCCTGTATTTTCCGGGTTTTCGTCTTCCCCCCCACTTCCCATGTTTCCCCATATTTTCTGAAACCAGAAGTTTGTGGAAGACTACGCATAGCTTCAAGTCGGGCGTGTCCCCCTACACCTCCTCCTCCTCCTCCTCCTCCTCCTCCTCCTCCTCCTCCTCCTCCTCCCTGGGCTGAGGGCTGCCATTGCAGCCCTGGAGGTCCTGCCGACTGAGTCACTCGAGGTCCTCGACGGACCGATACTGACCTCCTCCTCCTCCGCCGCCGCCGCTCCGCCCCTGGAGAGCCTGATCGAGCGAGAAGAAGAAGAAGAACGGCCTAGCGATCTCGGGGGTCGTCTTGGGGCGGACGGCTCGAACCGTCGCTTCGCGCTCCCCCTCTCTGGGCCCCTCCCGAGGCCGCCCTGGGCCGCATCGGGGGGGGCCTCTGTGGCTGCCTCGGGGCTCTCCTGGGCTGCCTGGGGGCCCTCTTGGGGGGGGGGGGCCTTGATACCGCCTCTTGGAGCGACCTCGGCGCGCTCGCTGGCCGGCGTGGAGCACGTGGTCCCGCGCGCACGCGTGTGTGAAGGGGCCCCAGGACACACAAATAAATACACACAAGTAAAAAGATTCCCAATAGTTTCACGTATTTGTTGGCTTTTTGTATTCCCCCCCACTTCCCATATTTTTGCATATTTTCCTGGGAGTCGACGATTCATTGTGTCTGTGTGTTTCTTTCCCTCCTGAGTGTGGCGACGCAGCAGGCAGCCGGCCTCTGCAGAGGCCGCGCCACCCTCGGGCGAGAGCTGCGCGGCGCCCCAGGCGAGAGCGACGCCTTCCTCCGCCGACGCGTCGACGCAGAGGGCGTCGACGCGGAAAGGGCGCGCCGGGCCCAGGCGCGGGCTCGACTCTCAGGAGGCATGAGCGCGGCGCCGAGGCGAGAGCGACAGGTCGCCCTTTCGCGCGCGCGCGATGTGCGCTCCACCCCATGCCTCCCACGCGTCTTGCAAGGTCGACGCCAAAACGTCCATGTCGATAAGGCCACGCGCCCCCTCCCTTTCTCGTCGACGTGCTGCCGGGCCGACCTGCCCCGTAGCGTCAGAGAGCGCGGCCTGCCTCGTGCCGCAAGACCGCGCCATGCAAGGCCAGCCAAACGATCCCGACGAAGCCCAGGCACAGCACGCGGAGGGGCATTGGGGTCAAGACTCCAGGAATCTCCTCCTCCTCCTCCTCCTCCTCCTCCTCCTCCTCCTCCTCCTCTTACTCCTCCTCCTCTTACTCCTCTTCTTCCTCCTCCTCCTCCTCCTCCTTTTCCTCCTATTCCTCCTCTTATTCCTCCTCTTATTCCTCCTCTTATTTCTCCTCCTCCTCCTCCTCCTCCTCCTCCTCCTCCTCCTCCTCCTCAATGTTCAACCCCTCCCTCGAGGCGTGGGAGGGAAAGCGCCGGCCCCAGACGGGAGGCTCCCCGCGGAGCTCCTTCGTCGGCGACGCGGGCCCGGACTTCGCCCAGAACGAGTTCTGCTGCTGCATCGCGGCGTACTGCTGGTACCTCGAAGGAGGATGAGATGAGAGCGGTCGCGAAGCGAGTCAATATAAATTAAGCCCTGGCCACACGCTCAGATTTACTGAGCACTCTAGGCACAAGATCTCTCTCTCTCTCTCTCTCTCTCTAAACGACGGAGATACTCCCTGCCAGAAGATGTGATAGGAAGGCAAGGACCCGCCAACTTCTGGCTTAGGAGAGCCTGGCCGATGGACCCGCAACTGCCACAAAACCACAAAGCTGGTACCTCGAAGGAGGATGAGGAAGCAAAAGGAGAACGGCGAAGGAGGAGGACGTTCACTTCCCATCACGGGGGGAGGGGGGGGGGGGGACGGCGGTCGGAAAGGCACAGGGGCGACACATATATGCAGATAGAGAGAGAGAGAGAGAGAGAAAAAAAGAGAGAGAGAGAGAGAGAGAAACAGAGAGAGAACATACATATAGAGAGAGAGATATACAGATAAACAACAAACAGAAAGCGTGTGAGAAAGAGGGAGACAGATGATGTCTTTGTGGAATGGAGAAGGAAGAGGAGGAGGAGGAGGAGGAGGAGGAGGAGGAGGAGGAGGAGGAGGAGGAGGAGGAGGAGGAGGGAGAGGAAGAGGAGGAGGAGGGGGAGGAGGACGGAGGACGAAGGAGGAGGAGAGTGCCCCCCCCTCCCCCGGCTGCGACGGGCGCCGCCCGGAAGGCGAGAGGGGGCCACCACGACACAGGCGGCGCAGCCACAGAGGAGCCAGAGCCGGGGAGGGCCGAGGGCCCACGGTGCCAACGGCGCTGCGCTCCGTCTTGGAGCCCCTGCAGGGGCCCACCGGGCCTCGGGAGAGGTGCTCTCTGGAGGCCGTGGGTGCCTCCGCGGGAATCCGGGGGGGCACCTTGGGCCAGGGGCACCTATAGCAGCATCCGGAAGAGGCCGCGTGCCCCGCAGGCCGACACGGGCTGCTGGCCACAGACGCAGGCCGCTGGTTGCGCAACGAGGGCCGACACGGGCTGCTACCCCTCCTCCTCCTCCTCCTCCTCCTCCTCCCTCCTCCTCCTCCTCCTCCTCCTCCTCCTCCTCCTCCTCCTCCTCCTCCTCCTCCTCCTCCTATAGGGGACCACATGCGAACCCTACCCCTACGCCCCACGATTTCTGAGGGGGAGGGTGGGGTTCACTTCGTCCGAGAGCTCCCGAGCGAAGCGAACCCCACCCTCCCCCTCAGAGATCGTGGGGGGTAGGGGTAGGGCTCGCATGTGGCCCCCTGTGCTACCCCTAGGGGAACGGAGGACCGCATCCGCACAAAGCCTTGGGAGCTCCACGCGGATTTCTCGGAGCGGTGCTGGACCCCGCCTCCATGGCGCGTGGAGCGCGCCAGGGAGGCGGCGCCAGAAGCGCCGCATAATGGGGGCCGAGCGACGAGCTAAGAAACCTGCGCGGAGCTCGAACAGTTTACGTCCATACAGGGCAGGTTTTAATAATACCTGGGATTCTAAAACATATCGGATTTGAATACATGAGTAATGTATGAATGAATGTATGCATGAACTCATCGTTGTTTTTCATACTCCCTGCATGTTTAAAACATGATCCGCACGCGGAGCATGTATTAAACAAGGCACTGTACCGTCGTGACCTCCTCGACGCTATCGGTGGCGCTGAACAGGGCAAGCACACACTGGGGCAGCACGCGTCCTGAGGATCACCGACACGGGCGCCCTCCTCCCATTCCGCTCCTGCTCCTTCTCATCCTCCTTCTCCCCCCCCTCTCCTCCTCCTCCTCCTCCTCCTCCTCCTCCTCTTCCTCCTCTTCCTCCTTCTCTTCCTCTTCCTCCTGGACGAGGGCGGCAGGCAGGGACGCGGCACTGCTGGTAGTACATCAGCTGGGAGTAGGCGGCCCACTGCTGCGCGTACTGCGCCGACTGCGCGGCGTAGAGCTCCTGCGGGCCCTTGGCCTTGGCCTTGCCCTTGCCCTTGGCAGCGTCGTCCTCCTCACGGATGGGGGGTGGGAGGGAGAGAATGAGGGAGGAGGGAGGAGGGAGGAAAGGTGATGATGAAGGGGAGGAGGAAGGAGAGAGGAGAGAGGAGGGAAGGGGAGGCAGAGGAGGAGGAGGAGGAGGAGGAGGAGGAAGAGGCTTTTTGTTTGTTTGTTTGCTTGTTATTTTCTGGTGCAACAAAGAATGCGCGCGGCGCTAAGGCGAGAACCACATGTTGGAAACCACCCGCCCTCCATCCGTGAAACTGCTGCGAACTTTTAAGACGAATGTGCGCGGCGCTGAGGCACATTTTGAAAACGGCCCGCCCTCGATCCGTTCAACTGTTGCTCACATCTAGCTTCAAAATCATAAATGGCGAAGACGTCGAAACGCCCAGCCCACCCAATCAACAAGTCTGGGGGAGGCCATAGAGATGAGTTCTTCAAACAACAACGACAACAACAACAACAACAACGACAACAACAACAACAACAACAACAACAACACCAACAACAACAACAACAACAACAACAACAACAACAACAACAACAACAACAACAACAACAACAACAACAACAACAACAACAACAACAATTACTAGCACGTGGGGACACTCCGTTCTCACCAGTGCCAGGGTTTTCATAGGAGGCGGGCAATACCCCCACTTTGTGGGGGGGCCGGTTCAAGCTCTACCAATTTCCAAACGACTCTTCGCCACCACCCACACCCAGCTTCCCGCCCTATGACGTTCGGACACTTCACTTCGTGGCATGCGGACGACCGTGGCTACTATTCAGGGCCCCGCGGCCGACGACGACGGCGTGCGCGCGCGAAGAAAAAACGAATGTGTCCCGCATGGTATTATTTGACAGGGATGATGGCCCTGGCAGGTGCGCAACCGTTGTTGCAGAAGTTCGAAAAAGTTGCTCGCAAAAGCCCGTTTGACAGAAATGTTTAAAAAGTGTTGGGTTTCCTACGAATCCGCAAGAGCGCGCGGGATGAAATGTTGACACTTTTTTTTGAAAAACCATTGGTTTTTTGATGTTTTTATGTTAAAATCGCTACGAACACTAAGGTTTTGGAAGGATTTCGTCTTGCGCGCGCGAATGTCCACTTTACCTTATTTTTTGCAAGGGATTCTTGAAGTTTGGTTATGTTAGAACAAGAAATGTCCACTTTGCCTTATTTTTTGCAAGGGGAAACCGCCCGTAACAAAACAACCGGATCCGGACCAACCCGTTTTGCCGGAGACTTCCTCACGAAAATGATGAAAACATGGCTGCGGCCTAGGCGCGGCGAGGGGGCCGTGCACCAGGGGCCCCAACAATAATTATTCTTTAGAAGTAATAATGTTCAACAACAACAACAACAACAACAACAACAACAACAACAACAACAACAACAACAACAACAAATGAGCACGAATGCGCGCGGCGCTGGGGCGAGAGCCACATGTCAAAGCCGCCCCCTCCATCCGCACAACGCTTGCAATATGTTGACAGAATAGGCGCGGCGCCAAAACGAGAACAACCTGTTGATAACAACCACCATTCACTCCATCCACGTGACTGCTGCAACTTTCAAGCTTCGAGATGACAAAGGGTGAAGAAGTCTGAAGCGAAACGCCCTACCAGCCCTACCGACACGCCTGAGGGTGCGACAAGCTGGAGCTGTCTGTCAGGAAACAGCATGGAACGGGAGGGGGGGGGCAGACCGGGAGGGGAGGGGGGAGAAGATGGGGACGGAGGGGAGGGGAGGGGGGAGAAGACGGGGACGGAGGGGGAGGGGGGGAGGGGAAAAAGAGAGAGAGGGAGAGTCAGAGAGAGAGAGAGGCATTAAGCTGAAGTGAAGGGGAGGGATGGGTGGACGGGGAGCGAGGGGGGCAGGGAAAGTGGAGAGGGGAGGAGGACAAGCTAGGTTCGCTCGCACCATGTCTGACGTCCTCATCACCTCTCCCACCCATCCCTTCCGGTTGCTCTGATTCTTTCTCTATCCGCCGATTCGTGTCACTGCGGCGAGAGCGCCTTCCTCAACGGTGGGAGCAAAACGCCGACACTAAAAGGAGCTCCACGCTGCAAAGGCAACACTGTGTTGAGGCACAGGGAACGCTTCGATCGAAAAGACATAGGACATAGGAGGGGACACATCGCGACATGACGTGTCAAGAAGACCGCTCGGAATTGGGCCGGGCGACTCCCCAGCCATCTTGAGGGGAGAAAGGAAACCTGGATTAGGTCGGGCAGGTCCTCCTACAGGCGAATGTTGGCAGACAAATGAAACGCACTCACGAATGATTCACCAATAGTCAACAGCGCACGAAAACATCGTCCCCAGACTACTGCTTTACTATCCTGGAATATTCCTCCCGTAGACGGACATCCTCCTCGTGCTCCTAATCCTGCTCCTCCTCCTCCTCCTCCTCCTCCTCCTCCTCTGCCCCCTCCTTCCCCGCATCCCTACCCCCACGGATAATTCTCCTCTCGCGTCCCTCTCCTTCTCCCCACTGCTTCATGAAGGAAAATATTGAGGAGAAAGGGGGGATGATGAAGAGGATTGGGAAGAAGGCGCAGCAGCAGAAGGGAGGAGGGAGGAGGGAGGAAGTGAAGAAGTAGGAGGTCGGAGGGATGAGGTTGAAAGAAGGATGAGGGAGGGAAGAGGGAGCGAGGGAGGAATACAGGAGGGAGGGGCGAGGTACGTAGGGAGAGGAGGACGGGGAGGAGGAGAAGGAGGAGGAGGAGGACGGGGAGGAGGAGGAGGAGGACGGGGAAGAGGGGGGAGGGGAGGGAGATGGGTGGACGAGGGAGCAGAGCCGGGCGCCGAAACCTCCCCGCAGGAGGCGAGAGAGCTCCTCCGTGACGCGGCGCTCGGCTGCGGCCACGTTCAGCTTGGTGCCCTCGACCTCCTTGCCGTTCATCGCCTTCGCGGCCGCCGCGCCCTCCGCCTCCCCGGGCAGGACCACGAAGCCGAAGCCGCGGCTCTCGCCCTTGTCGTTCTTCTTGATCTCCGCCATCGAGACGGTGCCGAAGGGCTCGAAGAGCTCCTTCAGCTTCTCTTCCGTGATCTTCCCGAGGTTCTTGACGTTCAGGCGGTAGCCACTGCCGCCGGCCGTGGGGCCGCTCCCCTTGACCGCGCCCTTGGCGCCCTTCTCCTTGCCCTTGCCCTTCGGGCCGTCCTTGCCCTTGGCGTCCTTGCCCTTCGCCTCCTTGCCCTTGCCCTCCTTGCCCTTGCCCTCCTTGCCTTCCTTGCCCGCGGCCTTCCCGGCCTTGCCCTCCTTGCCCTCCTTGCCCTTGGACTCCTTGCCCTCCTTGCCCTTGCCCTTCCCCTCCTTCTCCTTCTTGGGCTTCTTGCCCTTCTCCTCGCCGTCCTTGGCCTCGGCCGTGGCGAGAAGGGGGGGCTGCCAATCCGCTCGAGATCGGCGCCAAGACCCCTCCCGGGGGCACTCGTCCAGCTGTGACGCCCAGCGATCCTGAGATACGACGTTGCGAAAACAGGCCAACATCACCAGACACCACCACGACGAGAGCCCCCTGGACCAATCTTTCTGCTGCCTGCTTCATGTTTTTTCCAGCTCGATCGATCTCTGCCGGCCCCAGGGCCCTGAGCTGGGCGAACGCGACCGGCGTGGACAAACCTGCAGCGCCCGACTGTCTCGGAACGCCCAGGCTGGCCATCGCTCGGACGTCCATTCCCTGTGTTTTTTTCGGTTTCGTGCGTGGCTTCTTCGCCAAATGATCAAGGATGCTCCTCGATGTCCCTCGCCGAGAAAAAATGCACACGTCCGAGCGATGCCAGGCAGGAGACACCGACCGATGATCCTCAGGACGTGTGTTGGCGCCAACGTGTGCTCGTCCGCCGATCCCCCTCGATACGACGCAGGCGGCGGCGCGATGAGGGCCGACGCCAGCCGTGCAGTGTCGGTGGAGCTGAAACAGGTAAGACCCAAGACGGCGACGACGACGACGACGACGACGCCTGAGCAGGGGCCTGCCGTCCCTGCATTCATGTAGGCATACCACGGAGTTCCCACATAACCAGGGAATGTTCTAAGAGCGACAGCCTTGCCCTTAGAACGTACATGGCTAAAAGATGCAGTAAGCCATGACGATATCAACCAGACATGTTCGAAGAGCACTTCACGCAGACCGCGCAAGCTTCTCAGACCGCTCTCTCTGGTGGGCCTCTCGGCAAGTCAGGCTTCTTGGCCACTGCTTGAGGCGGCGACGACGACGACGACGACGACGACGACGACGATCGGCCTCGGCCGCTTCCTTCGGCGGCTCGGCAGCCTTGGCCGGCTCGGGCGCCTTGGAGGAGGAGGAGGAGGAGGAGGAGGAGGAGGAGGAGGAGGAGGAAGAGAAGGAGGAGGAGGCGGCCTTGGCCGGCTCGGGCGCCTTCTCCTCGGCGGCCTTCGCGGGCTCGGCCGGCGAGACCGCCGCGGGTGCGCCCTCGGCGCCTGCGCCCTGCGCCGCAGCGGCGGCCGCCTCCCCCCCCTCGGCGTTTGCGCTGCCTTGGGCCCCCATCCCGACGAGGCGGGGAGGCAGGAGACGCAGACCTCGGGCCGTGCGGAGCTGAACTCCCCCCTCCTCCTCCTCCTCCTCCTCCCTCCTCCTCCTCCTCCTCTTCCTCCTCCTCCTCCTCCTCCTCCCCCTCCTCCTCCTCCTCCTCCGTCCTTTCCTCCTCCCCCTCCTCCTCCTCCCCCTCCTCTCTCCTCCTCCTCCTCCTCCTCCTCCTCTCTCCTCCTCCTCCTCCTCCTCCTCCTCCTAGGCGTGGGCTTGAGCTGGGGGAGGCCTTTCCCCCCAGTGCGTTTTGGCCGCCCGCGCCCAGCTCCCCTGCCCGCGGCCTCGGGCGGGAGCGAACTTCAGACTCACCAGAGCCATCGCGCCATTGGCTGGTGACTGGCACTACCGATTGGGCTACATCCTCGAGGCCTCTGCGCCACGGAGGATTGCGGCACGTCGCCTAAGAGGGCCTCATCCCCGTCCTGGCACCGTCGGCTTCGGCGTAAGCGAAGTTGGGCAAGAGGGGTTGTGAGGCTTGACACGGCGAAGAGACTGCTTTCATCACATCACGGGTCTGCTCAGTTCATGGGGAAGTTGCCCAAGTCTGCAGATCGAGATAATGCGAAGGAACCACGTTGGAGCTGTAAGGCTACTAGGCAGTGCGGTTTCACTCGCCATTTTGCATATAATAAGAGGTGCTACATGTGTGGACGAGATCAGAACGGGCTGCCCGACCCGAATGGGCCGCCAGAGCGAGGTTCACGAGAGAGAGCACCTTCCACACCGAGGCGGCGCAAAGTTGCAGAAGGCGACGCCAAGGACTCAGATGAAGTTGGGCAAGCACGCAAGGCATTGGCCTCCTTGCGTCGCTGTGGCCTACCAGATGAACATGATCTGGTCGTGCGCGCCCGTGTTGCTCACACTACAGCGGAGGCTGCTGAGCGGGCACGGCGCACACCAGATGATATGTTGCGCAGCGCTTTGGACCGACAAAGCGCCAAAGGACGTGAAGTTGAGCAGCTCAAAGAAAGCATGGGCACACTCAAGGAGCAATACGACGCCAAGGTCGAAGAGCACCGTGTCGCCAGTGAGGAGCTCGACAGTATCAAGTTGGAGGTGGCCACGGCACGTGCAGCAGTTATAGGCACAGCTCGGCCAGCTCCAGACGGGACGACAGTGTCGGACGCCATGGGCAGGTTGCAGCAGGTGGTTCTGGGTGCCCCATCGGCGCCTGCAGCAGGGAACCCTCAGGCGGCTCTGGAGTCTCTCGTCACACACTTCAACCTGCTGCAGGGGGCATGGCAGCAGATGCAGTTGCAACAAGCGTCACCCCCTCTGCAGCCGCAGGTACCCGCACAAGTTCCTGGACAAGATCAAGTTGGCACTCATGCTGGCGGTATGCAATGGGAGGGCCCTTCCATCGGAGCAGCCCCAGCTACACCAGGGGCGTGACTTATCTTCACACATCGATATGCCGAGGCAGTTTCAGGGTCAAGTTCGTTCCTTAGATGACTTGAACCTAGTGGAGCTCACGGCAGTTACTCGCGGCGCTGCTAGACAGGATGATCACACATCATCGAGAGTGGTTGCTGCATCCTCTTCTTCCTCATACTGTCCAAGGTGATGTGGGTGGCGAGAGGCCACTACGTACATCGAGGGCTTCAGCGGCAACAAATACCGTGCCCCCAAGGGTACGGCAGGTTCAGTCGTCGCAAGTTTTGAAGGCGAAGGCCGACAGCAACCCTGAGCGACCACAGCGGCAGGATCAGTTGTCGCCCGAAGTGCACGCCAACAGTGGCAGACGAGGGCGGCGGGCATGCAAGCATGGCAAGCGTAAGCCCTTCACCGTGGCCACGTTCAACGGTAGTGGATGGCCTCAACTTCAGGGTTATCTCGGTCAATGTCGATCACACTCACTGGTGTTCGTTCAGGAGCACCACTTGGCTGGGAACGCCAGATTGCAAGCGGCGGAATGGAATATCAAACGCGGGTGGCGGCCGTTTTTGACGGATGCTCGATCAGTGACGGGAGGTAAGTTCTCGGCTGGGGTGGGTATCTTTGTTCGGTCGCATGTTGGCGCTGCAATACTCGACGCCTTTTTGGACGATCACGTTCTTATTCCATCGCGAGCGGTGGCCATATGGGTGCACACAGGACCAAGGCACGGATTCATTGCGGCATCCATATATCTTGTTCAAGGGCAGAAGTTTGGTGGTGACAACGCTCGGCATTTAAAAAGATTGGGGCAGTGTCTGAGGTACTATGGTGCGCCCTTCATCGTTGGTGGTGACTGGAACATGCCTCTTAGTCAAGCTTCGGACGCGCGATATCACGAACGGCTGGTTGGCAGTTTCATAGGCAGCGATGAGGGCACGTATCGCGACCCCAAGACAGGCAACTTGACCAACTTAGACTACTTCCTTGTCTCGGAAGGTTTGGCAGCCGTTATGACTAAGGTTCGTGTCACGGGAGGTTTCCCTGCCCGCAATCATTTTCCTTTGCAGGCTGAGGTTGGCCCTCGGCCACGCGCGCAGCAGGTTTACTCTATCAAAGGGCCAGCTATCCTGCCATTGGGGCCCCGTGCGAAACCTGTAGAGCACCAAGATGAGGATGAGGATGGCGAACTCCTCTTCGACGTGGAACGTGGGGACCCTGGGCACTCCTGGACGCATCTTATGAGACAGGATGCTCATGATGGTTTCGGGGGCCCCTCAAATCATCAGGAACGGGTTGACGTGATTTGTCAACAGATCTTCAATGGGGCTGAGAAGGAATTATTGCCACTATTTCAAGTTGAAGAACCGAATCGTTTTGTAGGAAGGTCTAGTGGCCTCGAATATCGCTATGTCACGGCGGGAGGCGCGCTTGCTCGTTACCAACCAGCAGGCGCAGCATATGCACGTGCACTTCGATTGTTACATCTGAAAGTATCGGACGTACTAATAGCACAGCGTGACATATATGAACGACGTGTTCCAGCGCGGCAGCACTTATATGATTTCGTGCGTGGTCGTGGGCGCGATGGGCGCATGCGTCGACACATACCGCATCACGTGCTAGCAGACAATATATTCATTATCGAGCAAGCATGTGCGCAGCCTGTGCAGTACCACGGGCTCATGCTCGACTTTGTCTGCAGCTTCCTTGCTCGCCTGGCCGAAGCTGAAGAGCGTCGGCTTGCCCAAGCACGCTCCAAGTCGTTTGTGAACTGGATGAGGCGTCATCTCACGAGTACCCCTGGGCCCGTTCACAAGTGGGCCAAACCAAAAGGCTGGAAGGTTGCGCAGGTCAGGACCTCCAAGGGCCTCTCGAGCTTTCCTGGGGACATTGCTGAAGCGCAACGGGACTCCTGGGAAACCACATGGGACGGGGACCCTGGGCCAGTTGCACACGCAGGAGCAAATATGTTTCAAGAGGAACCTGGCGAATTTCTTGGGGAGCTCAAAGGCTTACTGGAAGCAGGTCCTCGCCTACCCCCACTTACTATAGCAGAATTGCGACAGGCAGCTCTGCGATTTCCGCGACGCACGGCAGTTGGACCAGATTTGTGGAGGCCCAGACACTGGGCTCTGGCGTCAAACGGCGCCCTCTCGGTGCTTGGACACATGCTTTTCCTGTGCGAGACATGGGGCTTGTGGCCACAGCTGTTATCGAGGGTACATATCGTCTTATTGTCCAAACCGTCAGGGGGGTATCGCCCCATTGCCCTACTAACTTCCATATATCGGATATGGGCAAAAGCAAGGGTGGATTTCGTAAGAAAGTGGGCCAGTCAATTAAATCGACCCTGGATAGCCCTTGGAGCTCAAAAGTCGACTACAGATGTGGCCGCACGTATTCTGGTTCAGAGCGAGGCTGGAGGCTCGCTCGCTGGTGACACTCGAGTAAGTGTTCACAGCATTGTGGACATCGAGAAATGCTTTGACAGAATTTCATGGGCACTCCTGATTGCAGCGGAACGAGCGCATGGTTTTCCTGGACAACTCATGGTTTTGGCCGTCAGACTGTATATGAGTGTCAGGAGGCGTTCCTGGGATGGTTGTTTTTGTCGACGCAGGTTCATGCAAGACAGGGAGTGCTACCTGGATGTGCCTTCGCCATGTTTTGCTTGCAGTGCGTCATGCTCACGCCGTTCGACTCGTTATATGCACACACATCGCATATCTCGCGCTCGTTGCATGTGTACGCTGATGACATTACGGTATCTATTATATGTTCATTGCGCAGCATAGTTTCATCGGCTAGCAGAGTCTTACGCATACTGGCTCGCCTGCTTGCGCAGTTGGGTTTACCACCAGCAAGGAACAAGATGAGTATTGCGCCCAGCATACCTGAAGTGGCTCGACGGGTGGCGGCACGGCTGCACAAATTTGGTTATGCCTATCGGAGTGCCTTGGAGGTTCTTGGGACCGAGGTGGCCTCAGGGAGGCCCCTTAAGTACCGTCGGCTTCGTGAACGGGTCTCGGTTGCCTCGAAACGAGTTCCTCGGCTTTCGAAAGTTCGGAAAGCGGGGCCCATCGTCTGCAAGTTTGTCCGACAGGCACTACCCAGTGCAATGGGATATGGATTAGGAGTACATGGGGCGCCACCACAGCTGGTAGCCAAGATGCGCTCTGTGTATCGCTCGTGCTGGTATACACCTGGGTCGACCACCCCGGCCTGGCTGACGAGTTGCCTTCAAGGCACAGTGCTGTCCGACCCACAGGTCCAGGCCTGGACAGCCCCTCTTGTACAGTGGGCTATGCTTTGTCGGGACGTTGTGGTGACTCGTGAGGAGCTCCAGAGGGCCTGGAAGGCGCAGATCCAGAAGGTCTACTGGGCCACTCATCCCTGGAAACATGTTTCGGGTCCTGCTGGGGCTATGCTTTTATCCTTAAAGGCCTTGAAATGGACCTCAAGCTCGGCATTTGTCTGGAAGACCGACATCGGGGACATCTTGGACCTCAGGACTTCTGCGCCGTCCACGGTTCGGGAATTAGGTCAGGCTGCTGCGCTCAGGAGGCTTTGGGAGTCCTGGGCAGCTCGAGAGA